TGGTACACTAAAATATCAATGAATCATGGCTAAAGTTTGATTACCAAGGAGCCCACTTGAATATCATATCAATTCATGTGTAAGAACCCGTGGAGCCCACTAGATTCAAGTGTTGACCGAATTCATGAATCATATGATGCAATTGAATTGTACCAAAGCATAAAGATAACATTATGAATGAAATCATAGGGCGTGCCATTAAAACAATAATTGTTTATCACAGCAATTCATGCCATCTGCAAGCAAGACTTCCAAAAATAAACACCAAAGCTGAAACATGAAATCTGAAACACGAAGCCGTATCATGAAACAATCATTGAACTTGACAAAAAACCACGGAACAAAGACTTTCAGCCGTGCAAACGAAACCTAAATTAATCATAACTCTTAAAAAAATTATGAATTACTAAATTCAAATTATTTCTCAATAATCAACCATATCTACCTCTGATATCACTTGTTCGGCTGGTAATTTATATTAACCTTTGATGAAAGTCATCACCTATTAAAGTCCAAATTTATATGGCGATTATTAAGAAATAAATTAACCGTAAAATTACGGAAGCGTACCTGAATTCATGTTGACAAATTGGCACTTGAATCCTTGAAGATTTTGGGGCGGTCTTCCAAATCAACACGTATTTACTAATCCTTGAGAGAACCCTTTAATTTCTCTCTGGTATCTTTCCTGACGATGGAATATCAGGGAAGAGCTATTTTGTGGTATTAGAAAATACGATAATAAAAATACGTATGATTTGGGGACCACAACCCTATTTATAAATAACATTCATGTTACCTTTTGAATTCCTATTTCAATCCATCATAGAAATAAGAAATACCCTTAAATCTCTACACATTAAAGGCCCACACCCTATTAGATACATTAAATCCAAACCATATTTGATCACTTTAATTGGATTTGACAGTATACAACATATAATCATTCACATATAAGTCCAACGTTGGATTAAAGATCCAACATTATTTTCATGCAATGAAGGACTTTGCATCCACAATATTGCATCATGTAGGGAAGTCATGATGATTTGCATTTCACCCTTTACAAGTATCACAGGACATTCTACAACATGCAAACCCACGTCGTATTTAGCAAGCTCCTAGGAATGTTCACAGAGGTCAGCATAGCGGTGGATGACATCGTAGAGTCTGATCACCAGAACCCACCATCCAAACTGGATTCGATAGAGGGTCATAGGCAACTGAGCACCATATCGACGCATCTGCTCTAATCACACCTCAAACCAAAGTCATACAACTGTACAGTACATCCATTGGGCATTCTAGATCCTCAATGACTTTTTTAGAATTTACGTCTGATGGGACTTTCATCATGACACTTTTGAACAACATACAAGAGGTACAAATGAAGATTAGAGCATCGAAAATCAAGAAGTTACACTGGAGTCACAGATTACTCAAGTCAATAGAGTAATGCCAGACCAACCATGTCGAGCATAAGGAATATGTAAACTCAAACGATGTGGTACTCATGAAAAACTTGGAGAACACTGATGACATACAAGTTATGTAGTATGGTTACATAAATTAGCTAAATTAGAATGGTACATTTTCGTGGCATTTTTCATTTATATTCTTCTTTAATTCATCAAATGCTAGCAGAATAACTCAATCCTGCATGTTTTATTTCTTATTTCATATGGGTACTCTTTCATACAAAACCAAAAAACTTTCACAAAATTACAAAGAAATGCTCTGTTCCCATGAAAAAATATATATAAAAGAGGATAAAACACACTAACCTCTTCAGATGTTCATACAAAAACTTAGGTTCATTCCCTCATCATTTCAAATAACATAAACCTACTATTTATTTTATCCTTTACCTTTCTTATTCAAAATTTTTGTATTGAACATAAGAAAACAAACTTTTAATACTCTCCTAGAAGAAAGTTAAAAAAGATAATTTTATTCATGAAAAGTGAATAACATATTAATAATTTCATTTTAATCTTTTATTTTGATCTATGAAAGTAAAGAAGTATTTCTTTACAAAAATGTATTAAAATAAAATGAGATCTGTCCAACCGTATAATTATTAAATCTCTTACCATCTGAGTGGCATACATGTGTAGTTATTTTTATGCCAAGGATTATTTTGAATACAAATTTTTTGGGAGCTCGTATTTGCTAACTGTGAACTCATGTGAGTTTTAAAAATAAAAAATATTTAATTTCTTTGCTAACAAATATTTTAGAGTAATATTTCTTTGGGAGTTCACTTTTTGTAAATGTGAGTGCCAAAATAAAAAGGATTGCAAGCTCCAATTTTTAAATAAAGTTCTCATAGAGTTCGCATTTATCAAATGCCTGCATTTAGTAAATGCGAGCTCTAGAATAAAAAAATATTTTTTAAATAAAACTTTCTTAGAGCTCACATTTACAGAATGCATGTTCAAAATTCAAATGATTTTTAAATTATTTTTTGGAGGCTCGCATTTTCTAAATGCAATCTCAATAATAAAAAACATTTTTGAAAATAAAATTTTACTAGAGCTTGCATTTATCAAATGTAAGTTCTATGGAGTAAATATTATTAAAATCTAATTTCCCGGGAGCTCGTATTTAAATGCAAGCTTTAAAATAAAATTATTTTTCTCAATAAAATTTTTTCGGAGCTCGCATTATTAAAAAATATTTTTAAAATCTAATTTCCAAGTAAATGCGAGCTATGAAATAAAAGTATTTTCTCAATAAAATTTTTTTGGAGCTCGCATTTAATAAATAATTTTTCTCAATAAATGTGAGCTCTATGAAAAAAATAATTTTTAAAATCTAATTTCCTAAGAGCTCATATTTACTAAATGGGATCTCTAGAATAAATTTTTTTTTCCGATCTCGCATAATTTTTTCAAGTTTTCGATCTCTGGAACGATTGCGAGCTCCAATACAAAAAAAATATTTTTTAAGGCCATTTCTAAATGTGAACATCAGTAGTCGGAATTCCACTCCAAAATTATCCCTTTAGCACAATTTTTTTTGAAATTTATCACAAAATTGGAAATTTCTACTATTAACTGTAGGTAGGAGTATTTTGGGTTTGGGGTGACCAGTATATGAGTTTCATCTTGTGGTCCTTTGCAATTAATGTTCAACAGTCATACTTTACAATCTACACTATTACATAATTTTCTACATCTATTTGTGTTAATTTTTTGCCAAAATAATCTTCTGTTCGTCAAATATTCCCAAACTAATGCAATTAAAAAATTTATTCCCTTTCTAGAGTATATATTGCAATGTACACGTTCAGAATGAGCAAAGTAATCCAAAATCTTATATTTTCCTTTTTTGATGAGGATCCCTCCCCATTACATTAATCATTCTACTTCTACTCTTATTCTTTTAATTTTTAATGAATGAATAACAAAGACGATTGGTTTTTTCTCAGAACCAAATGGCTATTCTTTCAAAGATCAATAGTCGACAAGCTTTGGCTCTTATATTATATTGTCAAGATGAAATTCTTATTCTAGTAATTATTGTTTGTGAATGCAAGAGATTTTTCTTCACTTCTTTTCATTTTTGACATGAAATTTTTGTTATGTCAAATTCAACTTTGATCACTTTTTTGTCCAGAATTTATGTGCACGTGTTCTAATTTAAAATATTGCAAAATACTGAAATGAATAAAATCAGAACTTTATCATAAATATAATTACAAATAAAGAAAGAAAGGACTTGCAATATAATAGTTAAGAAGAATTCTAAGAAACAAAATGGTAGTAGAAAACAATAGTACCATTGTTGGTAGATTGGATATTTCAAACAAAATTTTCGCACATGGTCATTTTCCTTTAGTTTTGAAATCTACGTGGCAATAAATAGATTAACACAAGAATAGAATTTGAAACAATATTAGTTTGGGATTATTTTTTGAGAATATTTACTACTAGATTAAAGATTTCCTTTCCTGTTAGTTTGCATGACAATAAGGATAACTAGGTGACAATAATAATATCATTATGGGAATAAAATTTGAAAGTGAATAACATTGGGAATATTTTTAAGAAATAGAGTTTTTTTGGTGGAAAAATCATATTTCTACATCATGTAACAAAATCATTGATGGCTTTTGTCAATTTACAGTATCGGTCAATATACAGTATCAAAGAAACTTGCAGACAAATCAATTTATAACCAATCTGGCGCTTTACAGTGAGATACCGCAGTACTAAAGTTCACACTCCTTAATGTTAAATTCAAGTTTGAACAAATTCTAATATTAAACCGTAGTATTATGCTATTGTAGACATCACATCCCTCCATTCTAAATTCACATCTTATATAAAATTTAACATTAGCAATATAAGTCATCAATACTAATGATACAATCATCAATCTAGTACGGATTGAGAAAGGAAAGGCGTGAATTTATTCTCTTCCTTAATTATATTCATTATATTTGATTAATATTAAAGTGGTATTCAAGGTTTAATCTTGCATAAAACGATGATACCCCTTTAATACATGTAGACAACATAAAATTACCATTTAATTTTAAAAGTTTTCCTTTCTTTTCTTGTTGACATTGACATTGGTTTTCGGAAGGACTTGAAAAATGACAAGGTCTGTCATTAGGAAATTTAAGTGACAGAGACTATTTGTATTTAAAGAATCACTTTCATAAAATATTTTTTTGGTGTCCTCGAGATGCCAATGGATAGGGTTTCCTAGCAGTGTCTTCTCTCCTTTGTACAATTTACTTTTTCTCTACTCAATAGTCTCACCACAATTTCTCATGCATTTCTCCCGTTTTCCTTTACCACTCCCTTTAAATTCTCATAATTTTGAAGTGTTTCCATCATTTTCGTAGTTTCACATCGCCAAAATAGTTTTGCCTTTTATAAGTGTTTCCGTCATGTTCGTAGTTCACATCGTTAAAATAGTTTTGCCTTTAGAAGGTATTTAAGTGCAATTGTCAGAAACATTGAGGGAGGCATATGAAATTATCCCAATGATTAAAGACAGTCATGCAGAGACAAAGTTGTGCAATTAAGAATCAGAAGAAAAGATGAAAGCTTTGTAGTAATTATCACTATTCAGAGGCTTTAGATGTTGATGAACCAAAGACACCAGTTTCAACTTCGGTTATCTCATCAGGCCTGATGGTTCTACCCTTGAGGAAATTGTAGTACCAGTCTGCAGAGAGCTTTCGGTATCTTCTCAATTGCTTGTCATCCAAATCCACGTAGTACAGGCCACTACCTCTCTCATAGCCACCGAATAACTCTAGACCATCTAAGAAAGACCACTGGAAGTACCCTTTTGTGTTTGACCCATTTCTTCATCAATTGTTTCAAGATGAAAGACCAGAACAAGTCAAAAAGGTTGACATCTAAGAGTCATTTCAGAAATACGTGTAATGATACTATAAACTTATGCGGTAGAGTCTGAAACATTAGATTAAACAGAACATGCCTTGCTGCATAGCTTTAATGACCATTTTTTGCAGAATAAGTTTTAAAATAGTTGTTGAAGAACATAAAGATTAAACCAAGGGGAGATATGTGAAAATTCACTCGTGATAATAGCAGTAACACATAAGTGGACATGCTTACTTTATAGCCTCAAGCAAGGTCCCGATATATGAATGCAGATATTTCACCCTTGGTATGTCGTATAGTGTTCCATTACGCTCAGTTCTTTGACCTGTCAAAAACAGTCATGCAACGAGATTCTAAAACTTTGTGCGATTGTATTGAACAAGAAAACAGAAAAAAGAGACATGATCTAGATAAAGGTGCAAAGATTTTCCGGTAATTACTATTCCGGATGAAATATACAATCGCAGCAGTGTCCAACAGCCAAAAAATTTGCGCAAGTACAAAAAAGCATCCCTACTAATTAAGCTCAAATGGTTACGCTTGCTTTTTTGGTGACTGAACCTTACTTATAAAGGTACAATCATGCATATATATTCCGTGATGGGGAACAAATCCCAGAGTAAACGATAATTCTCTAGCAATATATTCTTAATGGTGGTTTCATTAGGTTGGCAGATTTTGGTCAAAATGGTTTGTCTTGATTTATCTTTCTTGGTAAAATAATACATGTAGTGCCAATTATGTCTATGAGTTGAACATTTTGCAGAATCAGTCATTAGTACTGAAACATTTAAGACAAAATGATTACAAAGGTACAGGTTGCCACATCCAAGCCAAGGTAGAGAGAAAGAGTCAGTGAAAGAACCATTTTCGTGGATATAAGTAGGTGGATTGCCATAAGCTGTCTTGAGATACTCCAGAATTCCAGATAGACTGGATGATGGATCATCATTCTGTGCCAGCAGGATGGTTATCAACCACGACAGAAAATGATGAACACAAAATCATGAAATTAAATTATCAGCACCGACCTGATTTTGTGGTGCATCTTCTGGTTCAACTAAAGTAGCAGAAAACAGATTCACCAATTAGTATAATTCAATCACAAAATCTATGGGGAAACAAAAGCCATCATAGAGATACAGACTATTGAAAAAGAAGAAGCACAAAGAAAACTGAAATGAAACCAAGCTTGTGCACAAGTTCTCAGAGATCTGACAAATAGAGCTTTACAAAAGGATGTGAGTAGTTGATTCAGTCAGCAAGGAATGAGTACAGTCGAAACTCAGAATAGATGGGGACACGTACGGAAGAAGCTTGCTGCCGTATCAGCAGTTATGTCCCTGACATTCATCTCAAAGCTGCTAGGATTGTCCTTGACATAGACTAAGTTATAATGGTTTAGCCCTATAAAGTCAAATGCGCCCTTAATTAGCTTAGACTCACGTGGAGTAAGAACTGGTATCTTTGAACCAGCATTCTTCTTTACGATGTCCGGATAGTCTCCAAACACCATTGGATGCATAAACCTGCAGTCGAATTGTGGATAAACGATAAAAGCAAGCTTATCTTTTGCTCAAGCTCCAAAGGGAAGAAAGCATCTTGCTACTTGCTAGAGATGATGAAATGCATAATGAAGGCATTTATCCGCCTAAGGTTCATAACTCACCAACCAATATAAAAATCAATGACTCTTTGAGTTGCAGTTACATCTTCTGTAGCATTAGAATATGGAGAAAACCAATAAGAATAGATGTTTAGTCCCACAAAACCATGTTGAACAGCCTGCACAGAGCGTATTATTTCAGTTATTTGACGTATTCGACAAGATGCTTCCGAGATATGAACATTAAAAAGAATCCACTAATAAAAAGCTTAAAGAGAAAGATCAATTTCTTGTTATCCTATTCCTTTTTAGCAGATAGAAGGTAAGAACTCAATTGATCAGGGTGCATTATACTACAAACATTGGCAGGAGAAGCAGCAGCCCTATCACTAAATTGTCTTTCCATTCCCAGACCTATTAAGCTGCCCATTTTTCCAGTCCTTATTGGTATTTGGTCTCTATTGCAAAGCTATTCTTCTATTCTTCCAGTTAAATCAAGTCCCAGGAGCCCCGGCAACCAATCGCTGTTTCTATGAAACGAATGCAAACAGACTGAATATTGATATTCCACCTTCATAAAAAACATGAGTTTCTTGATTGAAATCGAAGAGTTGATAGACATGTTTAGAAACAGAACTCTTCCAACGTGAATGACTAGACAAGGCTCAGTTTATAGCAAAAATGAGTCCAATAACAATTAGACAAGTATCCCAGTATTCACATATATGGACACCTAAAGCCACTACTATGTGCTATAAGAAGAAGTATAAATGGGCACAAGTAAAAGATACTTGTACAAATTGATATTGTAAATTTGACACAACTAATGTACACGGGCAAAATTCCATGTGCAACCCTAGTTAGCATTTGCTTAAGATTCCAATGATCCAAAGGATCAATAAGATGGTGGTTCAAAAGGGTTGGAATAATCCCAGTTAACACCAGCGACTAACAGTAGTTACTAAACATAGTGCCGCCTCTTTAGATGCAGAGAGTGTTTATGGTTGAACTTTGGATTTATCAAAAACCAAGAATCTAATAGGGCCAATAGGACAAAATCATATTTCCATAGTTGTTCTAGCACTATCAAGATACTGAATGCCAGATCATGTGGGAAAATTATGGAATAAAATACCATAGTTATACCTTATACTTTTTGTAGTATAGTTTCACGGCAGATGAATGTGCCAGCAACATGTTATGACCAGCAATATATGGCTCAGTTACAGAATCACCCTCGGTACACATCTGTCCAAATGGAAAAGAGCAGCGCCATGGGGGTGTTAGTCCATTATCATAACCACCTATGGCAAATACGTTGCCCTCATTTATGGTAGTCCAATACAAAACCCTGTCACCAAATTCTTTGAAGCACACATCGGCATAGGCAGTAAAGTCTTTCCTGCAGTCACAAACTTTTTAGTGTTTTGTATTTAATCCCATAACAAGCACAAAACAAGCTTAAATGTGCATGGATCAATTTAACAAATAACGAATGCTTACACTATTTGCCGACTAAACCATCCCCCATATTCATCTTCAAGAACTTGTGGGGTATCAAGGTGAAGCAGTGTGACATGTGGTTGAATTCCTGTGTGAAATCCAGAGAGTTGAAACGTAAAACATAAGATGATAAGAAACTCCGATAGATTGTCAACAGCATTTTGGCTACGTCCTTGTAAGATAAAGATTTGACATTATCATCTCATGTGCGCAAGAGTTCACAAAAAGCAGATTTTGCAAATGTAGTTATCACTCAGGAAGAAATACTGTTTCAGCACTTGATGTGGAAGAATTAGACATTCTCAAGTGCGTTAACCCTGCTATGCCTTAAAGAAGAGGAACATAATAAACTTACCACGTTTGAGGAGTTCATTAATGAGATTGTTGTAATATTCTAAGCCTTTGGGGTTGACATGGCCTCTTCCATCTGAAAAGAGAAATTAGAAAACTATGGGAAGGAAGAAATAAGATGTGCAATGATCATGTATAGGTAGTACAACAGAAGTAAACATACTAGGAATAAGTCTTGACCAGGAAACAGAGAATCTGTAAGCCTCCAAACTCGTGTCTACCATGTGTTGAACATCTTCCTGAAACAGATAAATTTCCTGAAGTGAACTGCATAGTAATGTTAACAAGATGAAGCTTGATTCTATCATTTGCTAACGACAAACATCATGGTAATTGTAAGAAGATTCAAATAGCAACCCACTGAGATCCACATAACCAACAATGTGATCTCTCTCAACCAGAAAATACTTCAAGCGGCTGCCTACTGGAGCAGAATTCAGTACTATTGCAGAATTGTCAGAGGTACTTATGCATGTAATCAGGAATTGCCCCAGGCAGTGAACACTTAGCCTGATAATTAATAGTTATGATAGTGGCTGCAGGTTTTTTGTTTTTCTTAATGAGTTTGTCTTTGGTTGTATGGACGTAATGTGAAGCTATGCTGCTGCTAAGTGTTTCATTGCTTCTCAGCGAAACAACTGTCATGATGGCCTAAAAGATTGTTAGAAAAAAGTTTGCAGTTATAGTAATACATAAAAAATTGAGATTCAGATGCTTCATGTGCTTGAGATGCTATTAAGATAGAAGATTAGTTTTTACCAAGAAAGTCATAAAGGTGAGGGCTACTTCAGATTTCTGTTTTTGGTTTTGGTAGGAAGAGGGGGAAGTAAGAGAGATCAGATTTGATTCATAACTCTGTTACGATTAGCAATTACTTTTGGTATATATGTAGCATAAAATTATACCTCGTTTTCTCAGGTGTAAGTGTTACAGTCTGCTGCTAATTGGAAAGTTTTAAATAGCTTAACTTGAAGCTTCTATGACTCGACTACTTGCTACTAGAAAAACGACTTTCGTAGGTGCCAATTACTATCCACTGCTTCAGAAAATCAATTGACTAGATTACAATTTCCAGGCAGGCTAACAAACACCTAATCCTTATTAAGTCTCACATTTTGGGGGATTAGATGCCATAGCAATTGGTCTTGAGACAATGTAGAAACTGACACAGTCAAGGATGTGGATGCTAACAAAATAAGTAGACATACTAGCAATAAATGTGTGCTCAACAATAGAGCATTTTCGATCTCCACCTAGCAAAAATCATTTTAGAAGATAATAATTAATAGCCATTAACTGTCTCCAGCAAAATTGAACCACAATTTGGGAACAATATCAGGTAAACTTAGATTTGCAATTGAAGTTGCAATGTCATCACTAGGCCAAAAAGCGTAAAACTGGACCTAAATGTTCACCTTGTATTTGTGGTATTGATCACATGCTATGTCTCCAGAGGCTCCTTTAGAAAACCCTAAACATATTCAAGAATAAAGCCTCGGTTACAAATTCAGGAAAAAACAAAAGCTTTCTAATTAGTAAAGTGTCCACTATGCACTCCTTAATGCCCTTCTACACCCTTTAATGCTTCAACCAGGGCTACAAAGAATCAAGCCGCTGACGAGCCGACTCAGTCAAAGCTCGACTCGAGTTCGTTCAACATCAAGTTGGAGTCAACTTCGAGTTCGAACTCAAGCACAAAGAAACTCAACTTATTAGTTTGCAAGCCGACTCGATTATATGTGTGTGTGTAAATCTTTTCTGCACTGACAGTGTATACATTTACGGGTTTAGAGTTGGGACCAAGTGGTTACCAGTGGAAGGTGCTACCGCTGGACTATTCACGCGGGAACAGATTTTGTCATTATATAGATACATCAACGTTTTTACCAAAAATAAAAATATACATAAACTTTAAAATATGTTTAATACTTCATAAAGAAAAAATTTGCCAACAGGAGAGCTTTTTTTTTTTTTTTTTTGTCAAACAACTCAACTCTATTTGTACTTGCAACTTAACAGTAAAAGCATAGCCAAATTACCTAGTTTTTGGTGCTAAAATTACAATGAAATCATGTGACTGACATCCCACAATTCATTATCAGTTGAGTAAATAGAGGATCCTCCATATACTCCTTAACGGAGAGACTCAATTGCGAATGGGTGAACTAAAATGTCAATGGTTTGAAAGCAATTATTCAAAATACGTAGATGAAATTTGATCTAAAAGGTTGATTTTTGCACGTACCATGAGAGAAGGGGAGAGCAATATCATGCATTCGAATTGCATTTTCTGGGAAAGTTTTTTACTATAATATTTTTTGCTATGTGATCTATGTGAAATGGAAAAGTATTTGAGAAACGTGCTTAAGGAAAGTTTCAAAAAGTTCTTCTAAATAATAGGATAAAAAAAAATTGGAATCCAAACGACCACCTACCATATGGACATTCCACGACTTTTGATACACTCCATGAGGATTTACAAGAATGAGATGTTAGAAATTCACTTACAACAGAATACATCTTATGCCTCCACATAAATCAACTTCATCATGCCCATAATGCAACTTTTTTCTGAATACAAATGTAGCAGAACAAGCAACAAAGAAAGCAATACATAAATCAACTAAATAGTCATTGCGCTACCCATCTTACGCCTCCACATAAATCAACTTCACCATACCAATAGTGCAGCTGTTTCTAAACACAAAAATATACCAGAACAATCAACAAAGAAAGCAGTACATTCTGCTAATTGTCATTACACTACCCATTTTTCCTTAGCAACATTAAGAAGTTCAAGCAATCTTCGGTGCAGTGAGTTGAAGGGAATCTAGAGAGTCACATAACTTGGATGCTGCAAAACACAAACATGTAAAGAAATGACAGTGTCAGAGCAGAAAGTGGCGTCAACAGTTTTTGTACTCCTGGTGACTCAAGCCTCAGCTATTGGTTATACTGGTAGTGTCACCAAAAACCTGGCCACAAAAGCAAAATTCAGTTGCCCAATTAGATCATCATAACACTCTTTGTTTGTCATTCCAGTCACATAAAAACATATTATGCATTTCCATTCTTGACAACCATATTTGACAATTTGGTCATTGCAAGAAAGAGGATCAAGGTTAGTTGCAGCTCTTTTACAACAGAGGTTCCAAGTCCAAAATCCTGAACACAACCCAAGGTGCCTGCTTCTGGTTATATAGTCAAATTTGAATGGTTAATTTGAGCCTCCCCCTTCTTGACCTACAGATGAAGTTCATAAACACCTATGTACATAGTCAATCTCAACAAGCACTTTAATTTACTTAACTTTTTTGGTGGACCAACTATAGCAAGCATGTAAAAGCTACAGCCTCACAAGAATTGACTATGCACCGGTAGTCAAGAGACACATTCCATCATCTTATGACAGGCTCAGTTGTCACCACCCCATCCTTCCTTTTTCTCCCTCTATAGAGGTCGATAAACAGGAAAAAAGGTATAGTGCTACAAACCTAAACAAATCCAACATCCCAAATCACGAACTTCAAAGATATTGAAATGCAAAGGAATAAAAAGCTTGCAACCAGCTCTCCCTCAAATCACCATCAATGTTCATCATCACAAAGACATCTGACACTGTCTGATGCATATAACATGTACGATGTATCCACTGACGTATAAAGTCCATCAGAAAAGCATGATCAAATTTAGTGTTCAACTAGCATGTGGAACTTGCTAAATTGCCTCAGGCAAGTGACTTTCTGCATTTATTGTTTGCCTTCCATATCTCTAATAATATTCTTTCACGTCAAGAAGTTTTGGAAGTTACTTTTCCAAGTTAGTTAAAGACACTTTTGATCTACAATAACCTAGGGTTTAGCTCCTACAAAGTATTAGGTTAAAGATTAATTAAGTAGGAACATAGTATCACCAGCTCATTCGGTCGCTCATTCTTTTCATTTTGTTGCTCTTCTCCCACATCATTTTCATCTTTCATTTAATTTAAAATTCTTCACCATGTTACCGTTTGTCATAACATGAAAAGTTCACTTGTTTCGGAGGAGGTCCAAATAATTTGTATGCTTTTGAAACAAAATTCCTTCTCTTTTTCTTTTAATAGAATTGTCAGCTATACATGGTACAAACCATCTGCTTTGATACATATGACTTTATTTCATATTCAAAAACTATGAGAGTACTTCAATAGAAATTATATTTAACCCTTTATGATTCAACCCAACAATATAGCTTAGCTGCCATTACATAAGGAAAGAAAAAGGAAAACATATGAACTCAAACTTCTCAGTTCATCAACAAAGTGACAAACTAATTTATTTCTGCATGTAAGCCTAGCCATATTCAGATCATTAATCCAAACAATAGAAATTGGCAGGTTGGTCCTAGTCACAAGGGCAAAAAATATAGTGCCACCAAATTCTCTCTTCTCAATCTCCTTGTCAGGCCACCATTAGATTCCCTCTTACAGTTATGCAGCAAAGGGTTAGAAAGAATAATGTCCTCAAATTCATCCTTAGAGCATATAATTCTAAGTAAGAGTTTCATGTCAGTACCAAGTTTTACAACTTATAGATGCAGGTGAAGCTTCACAAGGATATGAAAACCATAAAAACCCAACAACTGATTAGATATTTCTTTTGCGAATGATGACTATTACTAAACAATCCACAACATACTAAATAAATAAATACAAAACAAGATAACTCTCTTTGAGTACTTTTCCTGGGACCACTGGGAATTAGGGAGGGAGGACCAAGACCACAACATGGAAGTTATCGAGGTGGTTATGCACCCACCAAGCAGTGACCTCAAGGACAATCAAACACGTACAAGAAAGGATCTATGCAGTGATTGTTTGGAATTTAAAGGAACCTGCCTCCTGCTATTTTAATTACATGATGCATCTCAGTGAGAGATTTGATGCAAGTTAAGTTAGGTAATGAAGAAGAGAATGAAAGCAATGCACAACACAGAGGATGGAGCTTTTATTAGTGTTGGGGGAAGGGGGGAGGGGAGGGGAGGAGAAGACAATTTCAAAGGGCAAGAAAAATTTAGAGATAAAAGGAGGTCCCCAGTCCACAGAGACCTGCACAGGGGAGATGAGGAGTGGAGACAGTGGTCCCCCTTAATGCTAACCCAGAAAAGACAAATGCTGAAAAAGGAAATGACAGGATATCAAATAAGAATACACCTTATACTTCAGATAAAATCTTTCTTTATCAACTGCAGAAGATTTTATAGTTTAGTCCATAGAAGTCAATTGTAATAAAAGAAATAAAAAAGTGTCAAAGCTAAAGAAAGTAGTAAAAGAAATTGCCGAATGGGTCTCCTGTATCATGAGAACTACTAACTTATACCTCAGAGCTTCAAGTTTGCAATAAAGGAACCAAAAGGTACCTATTTCGTAAGAATTGCTTTATGAGCTTTGTATGAAAGAATCACATTCCATATTAGAGCAATAAAGTTAGCAGCAAGGACCTGCAACAAGCAACATATAAAGGGACTGTAAGCGCCATTAAAAGAACAGTCCTTTCTGTTGATGAGTACAAGATCAACTACTAAGTTTACAAAATATCAGATCTTCTGAAACGATAAATTGTATCAAGAATGGCACCTATCATAGAAAATTTAAATAAACCAAAATGAAAGAAGAATAAGGAAAAATAAGATATACATGTCTATCACCTAGGCTAACCTTAAAAGGAAATTCATTCATCAAGTACATGCTAGTTTTCATTTTGCTTAGAAAATGGACAAGAATGCTGGTAATTTATGTGGTAGACCTTAATGTAAAGCATTTTTCAAAAGATTAACTTTGTTTTGATTTTATGTAAAGGAAGTAATTAATTTATCATGTTTATATACAATTACTTAATTATCCAATGGGCTGTTGTCCATCTCGCAAAAGCACACATCAGGTAGAAAATAATCCATCGGATAAATTTCATTTGTCAAAGTAGGATACAAACTCATACTTTCTTTAACTAATTTGAAATCAAGCAGAACTTTATGATCAAACATGGAAGATTCACCAATCATATTTGAGCATCAGTACTTGAAAATGGAATTTTGATTGTTGAAAGAACATGGAAAGGGCTATGCTTCATTCTATAGTTATAAGAGGCTGGCTTATGTCCCTTCAATAAATGATTTTACATCATCTTAGGTTCCCATCGTAAACGATGCAAAGTTTGAAGCTTTTCAATCCTCCAATTACAAGCCAGAGTCTGATTGGGTGAGGTCAGAAAATTCTGTTATTAAATTAAGATATACAACTAATATAATGAAGAAACAATTAGTAATTGTTTCCAATCTATCACACACTTCAAAGACCTTATCATACTATCATTCCCTCAAGGAATTTCAGAATCTCTTGCAATTACTCGTGCACTCACAAGCTGTAACTGGCTTAGCATAGCACTCGAGAAGACTAAGCAGTATGTCTCTCAGACTATCACTACAAAGATTTGACCTCACAAAATTCATTTATCGCTTGCTTTTAGTTAAGCTACTTGCAACAAATAATGCTCCCACAGTATCTAGATGACAGTAGTTTCCCGACAGGGCCTGCCAAAGACTATACTGGTTTTTTTTTTTTTATTTTGTAAATAAAAGGTGCTAATAACAACAAATTCCTATTCCATGAGTACTTCAAACACCAACAACAATAGTGGCCATGTTCTCGCCATATTCTCTCAAAATCTAAAATTTTTCTACTTTTCTCTTCAAACCAATAAGTTTTGAAGTCTTCATGATATTCATGCAATGTATAACTGGAACAATCATTCTGTAACAATGGAATAACTGTAAACGTCAGGTTTAAGTATTCTTTCATAATACACCAACATTAGCAGACAAAATGTTCTCTCGTGAACAGGCACAAAGCAATCCTATTTCAGTGAAAGTTAAATTCAGCAAATATTGAGATAGATGATGAACTTTAAACCTGAAATTGCTGTGGTACAAATCGGAAGTTAAGGAACTGAAAAGGAATCCATAATTGCCAATTGGCCACAACCGCAGAGAACCATTCCTACAATGTGAGATAAAGAATATAACCAAAACCAGCCAAGGGTTAAGTTCCTCCTATGCATGCCAGGAATCATGTTATTAATGTGACAAGGCATGGTGATCCTCAGAAAACCCCAAGAAGAAAAAAGGAAGATGATGAAGATACAATTACTGATAATACCTGCTCAAGCTTAGGAATTACTTGTGATGGCCTTCCCTCCAGTGTTACCAATGTAGATAAGAAAAATCCAATGAAAATGGGAGAGAAAAGAAACTGCAATACACAAGCTTTGTGAGACAAAAGATTGATGAGGTAAAAGTATTGCCATCAAATGATAGCTTAAACATGCCATCACATGGATCCTGCAAAACTCAATTAATCACCTGATCAAGAAAAAGGCGCAAGAAAGCGCCAGATGATCCAGGAATTGTGACCAATTTGCTCAAGTACAGGTACCTAATTGTATCACATGAGGCATTAACAAGACAATTAAGGGAGTAATATGAGAGTCACTTTAAATAACCAACTCATTTTACTGAATGTGATTGAAATAGTGAACTAAGGAAATGCCTCAGCATGTCATTGACTGAGAAACAAGTTACTTTTTAGTAGCCAATTAACAAAACCAAAAGAGTAAATCGGCTAGGGAAACAGATATATGGCAGCACACTACAATGACCTCTTATTTCTATTAGATTATCATGGTCCTAAATAGATTTTAGAAATCCACCAAGCTATTTCAGTATAGTTTCATAGACATGTTTCCTGTCCATAGAGCCATGGTAGACACAGATACAAGGACTTGACTCTCAAAAAGAGGAAGTAATTTAGTTTATTGAGCTGAATAAAAACTTTAGTCTGGTCAATGCCAGTTACCCAAGTACATCTCTTTCCCTTTTTACTACAGATATCATTACCAAAAATTTCCAGCACTTTCAGAAAGGCAAAATAGCAGGGCAGCAATAACATGCAAGTTCAAACAGATCTGAGAATTATAGTTCAAAACATTGACACTTTTCAGATGTGATTAAAAAGAGAATCTGAAGGCAATACCAGAAGTGCAAGGTTGGACCCACCAAAACCAGCCCCAACAATGTGAACAGAAATGTCCTCTTCCAGTCTAGTGAAGGTACTTGTTCAATTACAAGCTGAGGCATGAATGCACAAGCAGCACTTTAGCAAATCAAAAACTGGCCACCAATTGGCATAAAAAGATACACAATAATCTGGTTTTAATGGCTAGAACAAATTTAAGAAAATTCACCACCAGATGCAATAATTTTCTATTTCTTTATAAAATATGGTCAAGATGAATCTATAGCCCAGTCTTGTTTTCATAGCATAAGGAAGAAAATCTTTATGACATCCATGACAAGATGCGACAAAATTATAGACAAAACTTGCCAAAAAAAGTTGGACATATGCAGAGCACTAGGACATACCCCACTGATAGCTCACATCCTATTCATGCAAGTCCAAAGTGATGCATACTTCAACCTTGTGCCTTCAAAAGGATATTGTGCACTAGTGCTTTTCATGCAGAGTGTTGAGACCTTATTTGAATGTTCCTTGAACTAAGCTTTTAATTAAGAGCTTAAATTTCCTTCCAAGGTCCAAACCTAAGGGAGCTAATTGTTATTTGACTACTAAAGCTTGTTTAGATAATTCCATTACTTGTATGACTAGGATTGTTCTATTTCTACTAAATGGCAAATCTGATTTAAGATATTATTTCAGGGGAAAAGTAACATCAACTGATCCCAAAAGCAACAAATACATTCATTAATAAAGGGTACAAAGCACATTGTACAAGGAGGATTTTGGCAGCAAGCATTCAGTTTGGATCTGGTGTGTGAAACCATCTCTTCTGAGGAGTGACCCATGCATCAAGGTAGGTTTGATTCCTAAGTTGCCAAATTTTTCTTCTCACCACAAAGTTTGTAACCCCCTTGATCCAAATATCAAATTCGCAATCTTACAACTGTGAAATAGAAAGGTAGTATTCACTTTCCAATTGACTGGGCAACCATCTCTCACAATGGAGGTGATACCTTAATTTTATGAGCTACAATTCCTAATAAACCCTAGATTTAACTCCTTGGTTACCCAACTTCTTCTTGCCAAGAGTTCATATTTTTGTTGACCCAACACTCTGTCTCTCATCTTGGTGCTACTAAAGTATGAAATTAACTATTAATCTCAAGCAGAATCTCCAGATCATAGCTTGATACAGCCTACACCCATCATGCACATTTCGTCTTTCCATCAATATAACAAAAATGATGGCAAGTTTGATCTTGGTCCAATTAGCAGCCAAATGAAATCACCAGTTTGATTGTTTGGAGCCTATCTAATTCCAAATATTGCTTCTGCACTACATTAACAATATATAAATATTGTCTTACTGCTCCTAAAAAGTGCAAGAGTATCTTCTCACCACAAAGTTTGTAACCCCCTTGATCCAAATATCAAATTCGCAATCTTACAACTGTGAAATAGAAAGGTAGTATTCACTTTCCAATTGACTGGGCAACCATCTCTCACAATGGAGGTGATACCTTAATTTTATGAGCTACAATTCCTAATAAACCCTAGATTTAACTCCTTGGTTACCCAACTTCTTCTTGCCAAGAGTTCATATTTTTGTTGACCCAACACTCTGTCTCTCATCTTGGTGCTACTAAAGTATGAAATTAACTATTAATCTCAAGCAGAATCTCCAGATCATAGCTTGATACAGCCTACACCCATCATGCACATTTCGTCTTTCCATCAATATAACAAAAATGATGGCAAGTTTGATCTTGGTCCAATTAGCAGCCAAATGAAATCACCAGTTTGATTGTTTGGAGCCTATCTAATTCCAAATATTGCTTCTGCACTACATTAACAATATATAAATATTGTCTTACTGCTCCTAAAAAGTGCAAGAGTATCTTCTATGAATGGTACTTATTGCTCATTACTGTGTTCATGTCCAAAAGTTAGAGAAAGCTAGATTTCTCTAGCTCACCAGATCATCAACTAAAAGAAAAGTTCCTCTTACAGAAATTCGACAGCTGGTGGCAATCACCCATTGCATTAGCACAAGAAACTAGATATATACCAGCCCAGCCCCTTCCACCCTGAATCTCTTGCCAGAACCACCCCCAAAAAAATCAAGAAAGCAAAGACAGTATTCATATCTCAGAGTACATCACAGAAATTAATTTTGTCAGCTTAAATGATTGCAGGAGTATTTCCTAATTCTATATAACAAGACCCAAAAAAAAGTGACAACAATAACAATGCCTACAATGGGATAGTTATCAGTTATTTCTCCCATCAAGAAAAACATTGTAACATAATGCCCTGCAATAGAAGACATATAAGTATATTCTTTCATAAACTCAAACATTATACATAGGAGCCCACTTTTCAAGCAGGAAAAGATTTCTCAAAGCTCTTTCACCATTCTGATCAGCATCTCCTTTTACAGAGCAATGATTATTGTCTTAATATTATCATAATTACATAACCTCATCTAACATTAGAAGTTGTCATTAGGAAGCACCACCTCTCCTTCACCAAAATTGACCACTTCCAACATCAACAAAGTAATAATGGTCAACACGAATTTAAATACAGAGAGTTAGAAACCATATTTCTGGAAATCTCAACTGTTTGTTTCAAGTAGAAACTATATATCAATACAGGGCAGATTAAGGAGTTCACCTGGCAGGTTAAATCTCCAATGAAAGTCAAAAATGCAGATGTCACAGCTTTTGTCCACACAGGATATTTTTCAAGAAGTGACAAGTACCTGATATAGAGATTGAATGCTAGTTAAAATGGCAAGTCAAGGATAATTTTCAAGAACAGAAAAGATAAGAGAACAAACATCAACCCAAAACCGTGAAAAGAAAAAAGAATTTGTAATTAGACCAGAACAAATTCAATTTCACTACATATTCGGGGAATCAGATGAATTCCCTTTAAGAATCACATCATTTTTGATGATTGATGCTGCACTTCAGTTACATAACTCCAGAGATTGCATCAATGTGAATATATTAGCACATTATAGATTGTTACAGTTCCCATATAGATGATGTTAGCTTGCAGAAATTTTTTATGATTGATTGAACTTCTAAAAAGATTGTTGAGAAAATGCCAGTGCTTGTGCGTATAATCATGGGAGGCACCGCAACCTTTCAGAAAAAAGGGTAAACATATACTCATTAAGTACTCATTTGCCTTCAAAATATGATGCCCAAAGGTAAATACTATCACCCCAGCAAAATCACATCAAATTGTCCAACAACCCCTAGAATCCAATTGTTTAACTATTCTTTTTTTCCGTTGTTTATAAGCCACAACTGAATCCAAGATTGGATGAGCAATAAGCAGTGTTATGATGCAGCTAACTTGCACTGCAGAGTCAGGAAAGTAAAGCATAAAACTGGGATTACTGTGAAAAAGCAGCCAATTCTCATAGTCCAACAATTATAAGACCTACTAATATCTCAAGTTATCTCCTTTCCACTAAACATTACCACATGTAAATCATCCGCCAAAACACAAACAGCACATTTCATGCTAGTGTTTTGTATGTCTGAAGCAAAAATAAAGCAAAACAACGATACAAAGGGATTACTAAAAATTTGAAATTTAAAAAAAAAAAAAAAAAAGGAGCAACATTTTAAAGTAAAAATAAAAATAAAAAGACTTCACAGTTGCCGTTAAATAAAATAGAAAGTAAACAAGAAAACGAAAAAAAAAAAAAAAAAAAACAAAGAAGGATTCTACCATAACAGAAACGACCAGTTTTTGCCACTACCACTACCTCCGGCAGCACCACTACCACCGTCACCAGAATTTCCGCCACCTGAACCACTATTCCCACTACCTCCCCCGCCAGAGCCACCATCAGATACAACAAAGAGGCGAAAATGATCAGAACCCAGTTGTCTAAAACCAATTTTAGAGTGACCCAATTCTTTATACACAGGAGTCGAGGTTAAAGAAATTGAGTGATAGCAGCTTCTGAAGCTGAAGCCCCTACTCCTTATAGAAGTGGAGCAAGGTGGAATTTTGGGGGCACTACTGAAATGTGAAGTGGGTTTGCGAGAAAACTGTACATAACGATACAGCAAGGGAGATTTGCGAACTAGTTTGGCTGGGCTTGAAGCCATTGTTGCTTGAGTTTGGATTGGAGTTTTGCAAAGGCTAAAGGTTTAGAAACTGGATAGCCGGAGGAAATCTGTCTAAATCAATGTTTTATGATTCTTTTTGCCCTTTATGTCAGTCAGCAATTTTTACAATACTCCTACTGGTAAGCTAACCTGTCAACGGGGTACCCAATTGGGTCAACAAAATCTATAGGGACCGAACCACCAGACCACCCATCTTGGAGAAGCCACGTATTAGTGGCAAGTGATGAAAGACGAGTGTGCTAATTGAATTATCCATTTGAATTTGGAGAAATCATGTATTAATGACTAGTGATGGGAGGCAAAAGACACTATCCAAAGAAGGTCCAATTGAGTCACCAGTTTGAATTTAGAGATCTAAGGAAGGCTCAATTGGGTTACTCATTTGGATTTGGAGAAATTACGCATCGATTGGATCACCCGTTTGGATTTGGAGAAATTACATATTAGTGACAAGTGACGGAAGGTAACAGATGCACCACATACGTGCATTGAATTTGAAGAAACCACATATTAATGGCTAGTAATGGAAGGCAAGAGGTGCCACCCAAAAAGAGGGTCCAATTGAGTCACCTGTTGTAATTTGAAAATCTAAGGAAGACCCAATTGGATTACTCATTTGGATTTGGAGAAATTACGCACCGGTTGGGTCACCCATTTGGATTTGAAAAAATTACATATTAGTGACAAGTGATGGAAGGTAACAGATGCACCACATACGTGCATTGAATTTGAAGAAACTACATATTAATGGCTAGTAATGGAAGGCAAGAGGTGCCACCCAAAGAGGGTCCAATTAAGTCACCTGCTGTAATTTGAAAATCTAAGGAAGGCCCAATTGGATTACTCATTTGGATTTGGAGAAATTACGCACCGGTTGGGTCACCCGCTTGGATTTGGAGAAATTACATATTAGTAACAGATGCACCACATACGTGCATTGAATTTGAAGAAACCGCATATTAATGGCTAGTAATGGAAGGCAAGAGGTGCTACCCAAAGAAGGTCCAATTGAGTCACCTGTTGTAATTTGAAAATCTAAGGAAGGCCCAATTGGATTACTCATTTGGATTTGGAGAAATTACACACCCATTGGGTCACCTGTTTGGATTTGGAGGAATTACATATTAGTGGCAAGTGATGGAAGGTAACGGATGCACTATACACATACACTACACACTCATTTGGATTTGAAGAAATCACACATTAGTGAAATTGATAAGTGATGAAAATCAAGGGTCGAACCCTTGGCCTCATTATGCCTATGTAATAATGAGTGATTAGTGATGAGTGATAAGTGATACGGGATCGGTTATTTCACTAGAGCTTGTGATTACTTTCTACAGGTGGTAAGTTGATTTTGCAACAGCATGTACTCTCGTCTATGCCTATCTATTTAGTACAAGTTTTGCATCCTCCCAGAGCTATTCTTCAAAATTTGGGGAGAATTTGTAATGCTTTTATTTGGGACAAATTTGGTGGAGTTAGGAGTATTCGATGGGCATCTTGGGACAAATGTTGTTATCCAATTGATGAAGGAGGTTTAGGATTTTGGTCATTTGCGGATATGTAAGGCTTTTGTTTGTAAACTTTGGCGGAGGTTACTGAAAAAGAACTCATTATGGGTAGATTTTGTGCACTCTAAATACATAAAATGAGTGCATCCAATGTTAGCTCAAGTTCATGGACCCCACCTGTATCTTGGCGGCAGCTGGAGAGTGTTAGAGAAGTATCTAAGAGTAAATTAGGTAGTGTCTAGGCAAGGGGTTTGTCGATTTTTTGTTTGATCGTTGGCTGCTGGATCGGCGTCTTGCTGAGGTTGTTGCTCTTGTTGATCCTCTGCAAATGTTGCTAGCTGAGTTTTACGATGAGGGATGGAATCGGGACTTGTTGAAGTGCTGGTTGCTGATTCACTTGGTTCATCAAGTTCAACAAATTCATTTGTTCCTTGATCAAGTGGATTATACGGTTTGGTTGGAGTCTTCGACAGGTGAATTTTTTGTCAAATCGGCTTGGGAAACTATTCACCAAAAACGGAACAAATTGGTGGTAGATAAGTTTATTTGGAATGATATTGTACCCTTGAAAACATCTTTTTTCGTTTGGAAGGTTTTGAGGAATGTTATCCCACTGGATTCAGTTTTGTAGTGTCAGGGAATTTTGTTGGCTTCTCGTTGCTCATGTTGCTTGGCTTAGGAGGAATCTTTGGCACATCTTTCTCTTGCTTGGTCCTGTTGCATTACATGTCTGGACTTATTTCAAAAGAAGATTTGGTATTCTATCTTAAAGTTCCTTGTTGGTTTTTGCAATGTGCTTGTCATGGTTCCATTCGACTTCATTTGTGTCGCAGGACCATATTAGAGCGGTGATTCCTTGCCTAATTTCGTGGTTCCTATGGAAAGCTCACGGTAAAGCAAAATTTGAGGGGGCTGCTTGTGATGCTAAAGGTGTAATTGCCATGGTGGAAAGGTTTGTTGAGCAACTAGGGAGAGTGAAGGTTTTTACTATGGCTCACTTCCAAGGAGATTTTGGTGATTCGTCGAAGAAACTTGCTACTTGTTCTACTCAAGTGGGCAAATACTTGGCAGTTTCTTGGAGGAGGCAAAATTAATACTAAATTTATAAAATTTAACCTAATAATACACATATTTACTACACAAATGCACACTAAATATCTCAATTTGTCAAATGCAGCTGCTAAAATTGGTGGGTTTTGAATTGATTTCAAACCCTAGCTCGAAGGTTGGCCACTACAACCTACTCATTTTTGAGCTCGCAATCTCCAAGTCTAGGAGAAGGAAGAAGGAAGATTAGCTAAAGCTAAAGCTCGAAATGTCGTGCCGCCTTGTGATAGTTTTGTGATTTGTGAGAGTTGAGAGAGCAAGCTTTCGTTTTTTGGTTTTCATCTTTTCATAGTATTTCTCAAGCAGAAATTACTTATTCACCCTTCATTGATATTATAACATAAACTAGTTAAACTTGTAAATATTGTAACTACAAACCCAAAAGAGTAAATTAATGATCAAAAAATATATTAAGTTAATGTCTACCGAGCTCGAGTTACTCGTCGAGCTTACAATTTTGTCTACTACCTACTCGAGCTTGACTCGTTAACTCAAGCGGGCAACTCGAACTCAATTTGAGCTCGAGTCGAGTAGCTAACCGAGCTACTCAAGAGCTCGATTCAAGCTATTTCTCTACATTCCTAGTTGTCACTAAATGGAGGCATTATTTGGTTGGTTACCATTTCATAATCAAAATAGATCACCAATCACTAAAATACTTGCTGGATCAAAAACAAACTATTGCACTTTAGCATAAATGGTTAACCAAGCTCTTAGGCCTAGATTACGAAATCTAGTATAAAAAGGAGGTAGAAAACAAAGTGGTAGGTGCATTATCAAGACATTAAGACAGTGAAGTTGAACAATCACTACACCAAGGATCTTGTCTGTCCATTTTTACTGTCAAGCCAGTATGGATGAAAAAGCTTCAAGATAGCTATGATTCAGATGAACACTGCCACAATATTATTTCTCAAATACTACTAGATCCTACAACTCAACCATTATATGCATAGACTGATGGCATTTTAAGGCACAATGGCAAGATTTATGTGGGGTTAGCAAATGGAGTAAGGAATAAGTTGATCACGGCTTTGCATTCATCTGTAGTTGGTGGACACTCAGGACAAAGGGGATGCTGGCAGAGGATAAAATCCTTGTTCTACTGTCAAACTCTCAAAAGGATGTGATAAACTTTGTGCAAACTTGTGATACTTCTCAAAAATATAAACATGAACATGTTCCTCATCCAGGGCTTCTACATCCACTACCAATACAAAAATGGTTTGGACACATTTAACTATGGACATAATAGAAAGCTTGCCCACATCTCAAGGTTATGACACAATAATGGTAGTGGTGTATCGCTTAACCAAATTTGGACACTTTATACTACTCACTCATCCTTTCACAGCCAAGCAAGTGGCTTAGCTCTTTTTGGATCACATGTTTAAATTACATGGTATGCCTAAATCAATAGTATCTGATAAAGATAAAATATTTCTAAGTTGTTTTTGGAAAGAGTTGTTTAAGCTATTTGGAGCTGAAATACACTATAGTTCATCGTCCCATCCTCAATCTGATGGCCAAAGTGAAAATTCAATCAATATGTGGAGTCCTACTTGAGGTGCATGACTGGAGAGTTTCCTACCCAATAGAGTAAATGGATTCCTTTAGTTGAGTGGTGGTACAATTCCTCATACCGTTCCAATTTGAAGTTAACACCCTTTAACCTATAGCTTACCTCTAGGGCCTCATTTAGACTTTAGATTATAAATTATTTGAGATAATTTTGTGAAAAAGTACTGTAGCACTTTTTTGATATGATGTATGTGAGACCAAAAGATGATTGGAAAATACGTTGATGATGCAAGCAAATCAATGTATGTAAATAAAGTGAAATTGAAGACAATCCAAACGACCCATACTAGCAGCTTCTCAATTGTTACAAGAGAGAGTGAGAATTTCCAATAGCACTAAGAAACATCTTGCTTAGGTGATAGGAGTCGAGCCTGTGCAATAATAATTACCTACTCAAGAGAAATACAGATTTTGTATACAGCGGTGAGTAGGGTCGAATCCACAGGGACTGGGGATAATTCGTTTCTTCTAGAGTTCAAAGTATGGGGGGTTTTAGGATTAAATGCTAATGAACTGCTAACTAAATAAATTAAATGTGCAAAATGATTAATTGGGAGAAATAATTAGGAGAACTCTAACCAAGGGTACATTTCAGAAATGGTTCATGCACTGATCATCGATTCACAGATAATTCCAATATTTATTAATATACTAGTTATAGTTGTCATGCACGCGATAAACAACCAACCTTTCCTTAATTTCTCGATAGTTAAGGTACGACCGTTAACTATTTCTCTAACTCGGAAACAACCCTAGGTACGACCGTAGGATTTAATTTCTGGTTTGCATTAATAATTAGAAAGGCCTAACCCTAACCAACAAACACGCTACGAGGGTTTGTTTAAGCTAGATCGTATGTTCCCCTGACATAAACCCAATTACGC